TATGAGTAGGAAGGCCAGGCTTGGGGAGGATGCATGGGGACAGATGTGGTCTAATATAGGGGCCCGAATAAGTACCGATACTATTTTTGGGGGTTCCTTATTATTATTATTATTTATGATTATTGTTATTTATTTATTATTATTATTGTTATTATTATATATATATATATACTATACTATAATGGCCCCCCAAAGCCCTATTCTAAGTATTAAGGCCCCTTCTTTTAAGAGCCTGGGGTTGAAGCTTGCTTACCGTTGCGTCAGCTGCTCGCGCAACGAAGGGTACAAAACATGTAGGAGAACTCAAAAACGGTGCTGTTGCCTTTGAAGGGACTTTGCCGTTCGTGCCGCAACATATCCGGGCTACAAGTGCTTGACCTCTTTCACCTGCTGGAATGATTGCGTCGATTCGTTTTGTCAAGGACTGCAATTAGTTAGTGCCATGGTGGTAGCATCTTTGGAACTGCTCGGTTCTGGCAGCCAGGCGAGCTGGAGGCAGTGGTCGCCAAGTGCGTAAAGTTCGACCTCGAGAAAGAGGAGGCACTGCTGCGCGCACAGTTATTTGAAAGGAACTTCGGGGTGACAGCAGTCAGTAGGGCTTGCGGCTTTGGGTTTTAACATCGGGATCAGACTCCCAACCGCCCCCAATCCGTGAATATCAAACACATGAGCTCTTGACTTCGAGTCGAACCTTGAGAAAGCCATCGGAACAGAATAGGGTTTGGGGGTTTAATATAAGGGCCTAAATAATTACCCGTACTATTTGGGGAGTTTTGTAATTATATGATATACCCCAAAGCCCTAATCTTATTAAGGCCCCTAATGCAGTACGTTAGTGCTGGGCGAAGTGGAAAGCTTGTTGCCTTGTGAACTCGTCAGGTTGCGCGGCTTCACGCACGTGCCCAAGAGTTGCTTCGCAAGCCAGGCCGGATCCGTAGGGCCCTGCGCCTCGCAATCCCAAGCCCGTTTCGGTTTCGGAGGGGGGGCGGGGGGTTGCGGACTTCTTGCTGCGACTATGGTATAGTAGTGCATGAAAACCTGCACGTATTCTTAAGAAAGATGTCACATGTATTTTTCTGGTTCTGTACTGCCTCGGACATTGTAGAACCATCGCAACAATCTAGGGTACGTTGCAATAGTCACACAGCCATAGCTGGAAAGCTCTGAAGGGTTGCTTCAAATGCAGAGGCTGTGTACGTAGTGATGTTGCGAAAGGAGGACGCAAAGGCCATCATGCTTTGTCGAAGCACAGCTCCAACCTCGAGCTTGGGCGCTTCAACCATAAGGATGGTTCTCTAAAATCGGGTGCCTTTTACAAGGGTGCCGTAGTATTTTGGGGACCTAAAAAAGGACTCTAATTGAACTACCCATGAACCCAGCAAGCTTGTAAACATGTGCTGTTATCCTTGCATGATGGGCTACCCCGGTGAGTTTCAGGGTCGTGCTTGGAGCGGCAAGTTTTTCATGTCGTTGATGTTCAATAGATGTTGGTACGGTACACACCTGAGTAACAAAGACGGCGTCGTCGTTAGAGGTGATGAGAAGGTCGTATATTTGTTGTACACTCGTATGTCCTGGTCATCCTCAACGGAGGGACCCTTGTCGACCCTTACCCACAAAAGGTACGTACTTATACTCGGATCAACCGCACAACGCTTGCAACATGCTTTATATCAACAAGACTTTGTTGGTCGAGGCCGACAGGGCTACAGCAGCCCGACAGCCAGCTACGGGCTCAGACCATCTTCGCGTGCTTCGCGTGATCGATATGAACATTCTTGAAAGCTTTTGAATGAGCAATGTGTCAATGAGCGCTTGACTATTGGCAGACACCTGATCACGATTGAATCAGGCCCGGAAGGCTTTAAGCCCGACTTACCCAATCCGATGCCAATAGCACCGATGTAGCAAAAGCACCAGTATTCATATGCATGGTTCTGAGGTAGCAGTAGTCACAGTGCAGGCTGACTGCGGTCCTCGCAACTAAGCCACAGCCCCCTAAACCCTAAACCTTGCCAAGTGGGAGGGGCAAAAAACCCAAAACCCGAAACCCTCCCTCCTTTCATTTAGACATGACGGCCCCAGGCCCTACATCCTGAGTCGGGCTTAGCTGCATGGCATGGGCCCCTCCAGCACCACCGAACTTGTTGGGCTGGGCTCACAAGTTTAGGGTTTTGTAAGGTTTAGGGGGTTTGAGATCAAGAACTAAGAAGCAGCAGCAGAAGATCTTTTGACATTCCTGCCATGTCTCAGCGGCGGCATTGCCATCTTTACCCTGGTTGCCCCATGTCAAGCGTTGAATTGAACTTTGGTCGCAGCAGACGTTGCGGGCCTTTGAAATTCAACCACCAGCCAAAGGGATAGTTGCAATACTGACACTTACAATCCTCGCTAACAGTAGGTCACGGTTGTTAATGCTACTTTTCGTTTTGTGGCTCAGACAGTGTGCATAATCTGCGCATGGCTACCCTTGTAATACAGCGGCCTTAATGTTTCCACATACTGTTTCTGAGGGTTCCTCTTAGAACCATACACGTCATCCTTATAGAAACTCTTCTATGGAACCCGAGAAGCAACCCTATTCCAATTATCCAGGCTTCCCATTCCCCGAGGTTACCTTGAAGTTTACCCCAACAGCAGGTGCCCACAACTGAGGGCTCAGGGTTTAGGATTTCAGGTTTAGGGTTTATAGTGATTAAAGTATATGTGGCTTAGGTGTTAAAGTTTAGGGCCGAAGGTTCTGAAGCCACCGTCTTATAATGCTCTCGGAGGATCTGGCTTGCTTCGGCGGTACTTACATATCGAGCGGAATTTTCGAGCAAAAAGGCAGTCCCTACAGCAAAAGACAGCTTGTAGAAGGGGTCTGTGGGAGCCTGACGGACCGAATTCACATGTCACCGGCAGGCAGTGTAGAGCTCTAATCTGTGAGTGTCTTCGTTTAGGGTTTAGGGTCTACGGGTCCCAGCTGATCAACAGAGTCTGGGTTCAAAAAAAGGGTCTACGGGTCGTAAGTTGAAATAGGGTCAGGTTAGTTAAGTGTTTCGGAATGGATGGAGTCGACATCCCAAACCTTTAGGATGTTCAGGATGCGTACAATGTTGGTTCTCCTCAAGCGTCAAGAGCTTCGCCACGCCTTAAGGTGGTTTCTTTTGAGTTATTCTGCGGAGTTCCAAGTCTAGGGCGGCGTGCAATGTTTGTTGGCGTTTTCTTGCTAATGATGAGATATTTTCCCACATTTTCTGTTACAATTGTGGCCTTAAGTACCGGCTATCACCACATGTTCGCATGCACGGGTAGTGACCGGTAGTGTTCACTGCTCGACACGTGTGCATTCAGCTTGTGTGTGCTATGCGCTTCATTCCTTAGCACTCATTGCCTGCACTCGGCGAGTTTCACTCAAGCCTGCCACTTGCACAGCATTCTGGGAGCATTTTAGTCGAAGCTCAACAATTTGACAATTGGCCCTGTTCCAGGATCAGGGTGTAATATAGATAATATAGGGACTTAGATAATTACCGATGCCATTTTGGGGGCTCCTTATCATCATTATAGCATAATATACCCCCAAAACCCTATTCTAATTATGATACGGCCCCTACACCTTGCAAGGTTTAGGAAAGCTTAGGCTGCAGAGTTCCAGTTTAGGGTATGGATACAGGTCAACCGCCTGGGGTTGTCGGCTTTGCATCCTTGTTTCAGCTTGCGAATTACAAGTTCTTAGATGCTCTTGAGTTTTTTGCTATAGTAAATAGATAAACTCCGAGGGATTGTCAAGCCCATTTTGCTTATGGTTCCAAGAGCGGTTCCTCCTCAGCTAGTATTTCGGATCAGTCTTGCTGGAGGTTGCTGAGAAACTTCACCGCGAGCAACCCCCAGACCATGACCCGTCGTACTCCAAGCTCTCCCAGATGCTTGGTTGCCGATGCAAAAGCACGGTACCAGATGGCAATGGCTCTCCCTGTGTAGATCATAATTACAATTCTCGAAAGGTGCCGTTATCCACGAAACTTCATGGCTAGGAGGTTTTGAGAGGTAGGACATAAGACAATAGAGGTACATGCACGTATGCAGAAGATAAGGCCACACCACCGAGAGGAAAAAGGTGCGCAGGGTAGCTTGGCGCTCGCTCGCAATCTTGTGCTTGAGCAACCTATACTCTATATTCTCGCCCCACGAACCGTTTAAACTCTGGCGTAGCAGCTCAACATTGGTTGTCTTCGTGCAAAGTGAGAGCACAGAGGCCTCGGAAGACGCAACCGTTGCCCCCCAGTCCCAAACTCAATCTCAGTTCAACCGGTGGCCGTAGCATCGAGGCAACCAATTTCCCATGCAGCCTGGTGCCGACGGTTGTTCGCAGGCCCATGGGACTGAGCGTGGCTGTGAAGAATGTGACACTTTAGAAGGGTTCATGTGCTTATGAGTGATTCCACCTGACAGTGTGGCTTGTGGCTTGTCATGAGCACAGGCAGTCATGCCAGCATGTCCGTCTTCTGCAGGCACAGCCAGGACAGAAAGAATGCGGCTTGCATCTTGCATGCAAGAGGATGGCTGACAGTGGAAACCCATCTCAAGTTCATATTTCCTTAGTTCGTCAGCGAGTATTATTGTAGCGACGTGTTAGGGATGCGCGATTTAGCTGATGATCTTCTCTCTCCGGACGCTTTGAAAGCCTTGTACTCCGCCATACCCACGAGGTGTGGCTACCAGCAGCAGTCAGAGGAGGCAACTCCCGCTGGTGCTTCGATCCTCTTTCATGGGGGCAGACTAAGGGCGTGAGGCAGCCTGCACCGAGAGCCTTGCAACTGGAGACCCTGTACCTGTAATTGTTGTCCGTCTCCAGGGTTTAGGGTTTAGGGTGTAGGGTTTATAGGGTTTAGGGGTTTCGGGTTTGGGGTTTAGGGCTCATCTTCATCTTCACTTCCTCGCACGCCTACCTGCCGCCCTTGAGTGCTCAAACTCGATCCCTAGCTTATAGTTGGAGTAAGCCAAGCTTCTTGGACATGGCGATGTGGAGCTCCTTTCTCCTCTTGGTCGTGGGAGTGGCAGCCCACAGCGGCAACATGCCCGAGCAGAGGAAACGATACCATAATTCGATCAGCGCTTGGATGTATTTTATGTCACGTTTACTATATTTGCAATCAGGAACCCTGAGGAGTAGTACTACTTAAGTTTATAAATTCCAGGGTTTGCCGCTTGTAACTAATACCTGCCGGTCAACCTAACACCTAAACTGAAAACCATCCTACAAAACACCCCAAAGCCCAAAAGCCCGACTCTCTAGACCTAAACCCGAAACCCTACAACAGGCCTTCCAAAAGCATAGACGCAATGCCAGAGGAAAAGGAGCGACCAACAAGAAAAAGTCAAAAATCCTAAACCCTAAACTCTAAAAAACAACTACAACAACCCTTTAAGCACTGATGCGCCTAAGCCCCGAAGCCTTCGAACTCCCAGGCCCAGGATAGACGAACACTGAAAGCACGTGCCCAGGGCCCAAGAAGTCCATCACTCTGTGTAAGATACACACACACACATATATATATATATGTGTATATACATCTATATATATATATATGAAATACTTGTATATGTATATATATATATAGATAGATACAGACATCTTTTCTGACCGTCAGCCCCAAAATCCTTTGTGTGAGAGACTGGTCATACTCCTTCACATTCGGGCTACGGGTTCCGGGGCTCCGATCATAATCTCTCGAACCCGTAAGGTCCAGAACCCTAAACCCCAGGCCATGAGACCCTGCACTCGACACCCTAGACCCGAGCTTGAAACTCTAACAAATCAAGCCTTATAAGCCTTATATATATATATATATATATATATATATTGTGTACACATATATATATACATATATATATATATATGTATATATATATATATATATATCATATGTAAACAAGCTACGGGCACAAGTGTCGAAACACCCAGGCACCTGCCCCGCAAGCAAGAAATGTGGGGCCGACGCTGGCTCGGAGAAGGGTCTGCCTTGCTGTCAGAGCCGTGGCAGACAGATGTTTGGGTGTTCAGGGGGAGCCTTGACATGGGTAGTTCTTCAAATCAGGTTCCCCTTTAGGGTGCCGCCTTTTTGGGGCTTCCTAAATGTTAAACAGGGACCGTAATTTAATTCAAGACAGCTACATACTGTTTCTACAGGCAGTGTTGCCGGTGTTGATCATCATACCCAAGAAGTATGACGCCGCAGACGTTTAGCACGGTTTTTGTTGCTGTTGCTCCGGGCAAGATTGACTCGAAGTTTAGCTTCAACGTAGGTGGCTGTTCGTATTTTGAGATTCCGACTGTTGAGCGACAAAACAGTGGGCCCAAAGAGTGGAGCGTCCTAGGGTGGGATATCCTACCTTGGTGGACTTTAAGTCAACTCTGTGTGACTTGCTATATGACTGGTCTTGTGGGTTCAGACCGCCCTTTCCGAGCTTTGAACCCGCGAACAGAAGGTACTAAACCAGATACCCTACAGTTCCCTTGTGTGCACCCAAGGATATCTTCCAACTCCTTCGAGTGCTGCTCCAGCTCCGAAGCCTGTATTCCCAACGTCGCTGGACTCGCATCCCTCAAGCATCGAACGACAAAGCAGCCAATATGAGTGTCGGAATAACTAGTTTTGCTATCTGCAAAGAGATCCTATATACGAGCGTATCCGCTGAACAAGTATGAAGGGTTCTTTGACGCTGAGGGCTGAGAAGCATTCGGAGAGGGTTTGTGCTGATTCGCCTTGTCACGGCATGACTGCGCGATATTGAGGGGCAGTGGTCCAGATCGAGCATCCACAGACATGATTTGAGAATCGTTGCTTTTCATCGTTCCCACCGCTTTTATCCTTCATGTTATTGGGGACAGGTGGGATGCCGCTGCGCCGGCGAAGAGAACTTGCGTGATTACGAGGGCTACAGCTTCGAGGACTAGTCAACAGCGGCACAAAGATCAACATGAACGAACACGTGGATGTCACAGGTTTTGATCTTCGAATTCTCCCACAGACGTGATCCCAAATGTCACACGGTCCCATAGGAATATTGAAAATGTCTGGCTCAGACAGGGTTGCCGGGCTGTAACACTGGAAGCCTGAGCAGTGTAATACAATTACCTGTTATGTTAGTAGTGCTTTCCACTGCATCTGTTTTTTCTGCGTGATGGGCCTATACTTCCCCTCCCCAGACCTTCTTCCGTGTGCTCTAGCCATCGCCCATCTCTTTCACGGACTAAAGCCTTAAATTATTGCAAAGCTCTAATGTAGAGGCCGAAATAATTACCTATATTATTTTGGGGTTTCCGTATTATAATTATAGTATAAAATACCCCAAAGCCTTATTCCAATTCTTAAGGCCCCTAAACCCTAAACCCTTATAGTAGCCCTTATAGAACCCTTTAAGGAACCCTTAAAAAAGGAACCCTATGAAACCCTTTTCTAGTCAAGGCCCTGCATAGTATAATATACCCCAGCATCATGCCCCAAGCCCCCCTAAGCCGTAAAAGCCTTATCTCAAAGCGCTGCCAACCCGGCCGCAGGACTACAAGCAAGAGTTCTCCAAGTCCTACGCTGATCACGAGCACGAGAGCAGGAAATCGATCTTCGAGGCTGGGGCTGGGGGTTGCTTGGAGGCCCAGGGGACTTAGTAAGTCGGTTATAAGTAGAGTTATAAGTACCCTAAATGGAGTTACCCCAATTATAACCCTACTTATAACCGACTTACTAAGTCCCCTGGGCCTCCAAGTGTTCGGCCAGATTTAGGGTTTAGGGTTCAGGGTGTCCGGTCGAGATCTGACAAGGCCGTTGCAAAAAGGGTTTAGGGTGGATTTTTTTTGGAGTCAGGGGCAAGAGCAAAATTTTACTCTGGGCCTGCGATGTGTAGCAAGTCTTACTGTTAACCCTATCATTGATAGCGTGGATCATGCTTAGAGTTTGCAGTTCAGGGTTGCATTAACGGCTCCGAAGCGATGCCCATCGAGCAGAATGCCGGCTCGGTGCAGAGATGTAAGTTCGAAGAGCCACTAGAGCGAGTCACCTGGACGTGTCACTGACCCGCTCCGGCGCTTGAACTGCTTAAAGATGGCTTAACATCGGAAGAGCGCGAAGGTTAGGAGTCCTTCGGTGTAGTACAACATGCATCTACACTCGAATCGAAACCCGAAGCACCGTAAACCTGAATGCCGAGCCAAGGCGAATTTGCGGAAGGTGCAGGCACACAACGCCGAGTACAGGCTCTAGCGGGGGTTTCGGGTTCAGGAGTTAGGGTGCAAGGGTTTAGGAGTGTGGGTAGTGTTAGCGGGTTTAGCCCTCATGACATGTCTGACGCATTGAAGAAGTCCTGCAGTTAGCAGGGACCGCCTCCGGCAGCAAAAGTTTCATATATCTTCAGACACGTACAGGGCTCCAGTTGTCAGAGAACACTCTCATGTATGTCCTGGATTCATAACACCCCTCCCTTGCCTTTGGAGACGATTAAGTTACAGTTGTTGTACATCAGGGATGTGCAGCAGGCTAGGCCCCACGAGAACTCTTGATCCTGCGAGTGTTGTCTTGCTTCATGTTGAAGCTTGTTTGTTGCCTCCAAGCAGGTTCTGCTCAGACAGACACATCGGGAGAGGGAAAGTATTCCTGGTTGGAAAAGTGAAAAATCTGCGGATCTTGCGCTGGGCAGTTGTACTACCCATGCAATCCATGGCCCCTATCTTATAACACCCCTTACAGAACCTGTCTAACTCCTTTATGACAACCCTTCTTGCAACCCATATACAGCTCCTAATAACAAATCTGATTACTAAGACCTATATGGTCGCCTCTATAGTGCCCCTTAGAGGCAGGGGCATCGCACCTGGTACATGGCCATGAATGAGCTGGCCGACCTCTCCTCGCAGGAGTTCGGAGTGAGGCCCAGGGGTTTGGCTTTGAGTTTCCTAGGGTAAAGTAGATTAGACCGGTTTAGGAATGAGAAGTTTCGGAATCTTGAGGTTTTAGGGTTTAGTCGCTTACTTTCTCTTGCACAAGTAGGGTAAGCCTAGACTCAACCAGACGCAATCGACACATGACAACATATGACAAGCATCTTTGTCATTACCGCCGTCGTCGTCACTTCTTCAGGTAGTATTATGGTCCGGCAAAGTTCCCATCAACGAGCAGTGTGGTAAAGCGTTTTAGTTTGGGGTCTCGCTTGTCAGCAGCCGGGCAGAATTCGCAGAACTTCAACCAAACCTCAGGAGTGCAGCAAAACACGTCGGGAATCCCAATATCTACACCGCAAAACCTTGTCGTATAGTCCCTTAACCCCAAACCAAATCAGGACTTATTAACCTAAGGCTCATGGACCCCTGTAGTGAGATCCCAAGCCCTGGCCCCCAAAGCAGAAACCCTGGCGCCCAGAAAGCCCCAGACCCTCTTAAGAGCCTTCACTAAGGGTCCAATGTACTTGGGTTACGGACGGTAGTTTTGTAGGTTAGTATTCAGAACAGTATATGATTTTTAGGTACTTGGACCCTTTGGGCTTGGGGTATAGGACTTCGAAGTTAAGTCTCCCGCGCCCAGGCGCTCCACCAAGGTGGCCCACTCGGTGCACCGGCCGTTTTTGCAGCTCGATGCTGAGGCCCTCTCTGGGTTCATCAGTTTAGGGTTTAAGGAGAGGGTTTAGGGTTGGGGTCTCCTGCATTTTCGGTGGCCAGGGTTTAGGGTTTAGAGTTTAGACTTTCAGGTTGGGTTTTGTGTCGGTTTCATATGGGGTCTTGCAGGGCTTATAGGGACATGTCTCAGAGCCAGGGGTACGTTGTGAGGAGGTTCTTGCAAGTGAGGCCCTACCTGGACCCGAAAAGTATGTAGCATAATGACCGTTTACAGGTTTGGGGCCATTATTTTACCTACTTCTGGGGGTTTCTTATGGTGATGCTACATAGGTTCCCTCAGTGTACGCCCCTCCGATATCTCCCCTGTGGACCTTGAACCCGTACCCGATGGCTCAAAGTAGCCCAGAAGCCTGAACAAATATGATGTTTGGGCCCAAAAGCCTTGTAAAATGAGTCCTCAGAGTCTTAGGGTTACAGACGATACGAAGCTCTGAGCCCCGCCAAAAAAAGTGCACAAAGTTGTAACGCAAATCTAATCAACCCCCAAAATATTTTTCTAATCATCAAGGTCCTACAGACTGCTTAGAGCCAAAATATTGTCACATACGGTAGCTATATGTCTCATATGCACCCAAACTCCACTCGAGCAGACTGCTTAGAGCCAAAATAGGTGCACAAGCCGAACCCGGCCGCTTTCGACTGGCGCAGCAAGGGGGTCGTCACGCCCGTGAAGGATCAAGGCGGTCTCCGGATTCATTTGTGTCCCGTTTTTAGCTTGTGGGGCTTAGGGTTCAGGGTTTAGGGAACCCTATCTGGGTTCAAACAAGGGTTTAGGGTTCAGGGCTGAGAGGCTTAATTCCAGTCCATGGGTTTCATTTGAGGGTTTAGGCTTCGGGGCTTCTGGCCCCCAGGGCTCAAATCCAAATTGAGAACCTAGGGTCCTGACCAAACAGGTACCTGGCCCTGCTTAGGAGGTCCCTTATACAGCCTTAAGTAGGCTCATATGATACACCCCAGCTAACTGCCACTACTGACGTCTAAACCGTCAGTCCTCCCTTCTAGCAGACCGCACCTTCACCCTTGGAAAAAAACAAGAGGCAAAGTCCTCCACCCTTAGACAAAGAAGCCCTCAACCGCGATGACTCTGCAGAGACTAGCCCTTTGAGGACCTTGGGCTTAATCGGCTCGGAGCTGCGAGATGGGAGAAGTGTGAGGGTTGGACCTGATGTGATAATGGTTTAGGGTTCAAGGTTTGCAGGGTTTTGGGTTCGAGGTTTATAGGGTTTTGGGATCGGGTCTAGGGTTTAGGGTTCAGGGTTTCGTCGCGAGGTCTTGTGAACTTGCATCTTAGCCAACTCCAGCACAGCAGATCCATCACATGGTGAATGGTGCCGTGTCGTAGATATGAACTTCAACAGCCATAAGGGCCGAACCACGACCCTGCGCTCACCTTCTGGTGTCGGCGCTATAGACTCCATGAGCCTGCGACCACGGCCCATGACGACCTATATTAGGTATTGAATTCCAGCCTCGACACACTATGCATCCGGATTCCTGTAGTATCCTAACTACACGTTTAGATCCTTCAAGCGAAGACCCTGCTGTACTTAGTAGGCAGCTACATCGAGCCATGACTTGTGTAGGCGGATGCGGATCATGCTGGGAAGCTGGGCATTGCAATATTGTGATGTGGTACGTTTGTTGGGTCCAGCTTTCTTGTGGGAACGAATTGGACTGGGGTTTTGAGTGATCAGACCTTCTTTTTTTTTGGTGGTGTCCTTGGATACTTCAGAACCCAGGCATTCTCGGCCACCGAGACGGTCGAGTCCCACTACGCCCGCCGTCTGATCGAGGGGGCTGATGTTGCTTAAGGTTTAGGAAGTCCTGCAACTTTGGGTTCAGTGTGGGAGATGGATCGGAGATGGATCGGGGCATTGGGGACAAGAGGGCTCTTCGACTGGCACTCAAGGTTTTGATATCAGGAAAGCAGCCGAAGTCCAGATTTCGGTGCTTCGCAGTTTGGACTCCGAAATTCGGAGCTGCTTACGAACGAGGGCTTGTGATCCCGGGCCTCCAGCTTGAAAAAATTGTGGGTGCCTGCATGCAAGATCGGGCGGGCCGATGTGAACCCTAAACCCTAAACCCTAAAGCCTAATCCAGTTAGTCTCAGACTTTGACGTGCATTTTGCCATGGTGTCCTGAAGGGGCGCAAGAGTAGGCCTTGGATGGTTTTAGGGTTTAGGGTCTAGGGTTTAGGGTTTGGTTCGGGCATCGATCCCCCTTAATGTACTCAGGCGATCGCATCTGGCAAGTTGCTGACGCTGGCTCCGCAGACGTACGTGGACTGCGTGGAAAACCCTGATGATTGCGGAGGCTCCCGGATCCCTTCAGCAACAGCAGAGCATTCTGGGGTTTAGGCCCATGCATTCGGAAGCCATTGCCAAGCGTGTCGGCAGTGCGGATGCTGGTATTGAGTGTCGGTTGAGTTTCCAAATAGCCGATGCTAGCTAGCAGCTGCGAGGTAGCAGTGATTCGCTGTAGATTGGTTGTACAATTGCCCACTGCATTACAGTACACTTTGCAATGCTTGTTCGACTTGCGCACATAGAGCGCTAAACCACTAACATTCTAGCCTTTATTAGGGCTCGCACCCAAAGTAGTAGCGGTCTCTAGGCCCTAAACACTATACTTACTCGAAGCATTTTTCCGGTACTACAACATACGACAGCCATGCCAATACGCCCAATACACATGTAGACTTATGTCATCCCTGTACAGACGTCCAGCGTGTACAGCCAGCCCGACTCACGCGGATGAGAGGGGATTTCATAGACGCGGCATGAACAACTACCCCTAACCCCCCAGGTACCTACTTTATAGGGTACTAGAGCCCCTAGGGCCCTATATCGTAGGTATCTGGGGGGTTAGGGTACCTCACCTGGAGAGTCCAAGCCGCGAGAGTCCATCAGCCGGCTTCCCCGCTTGCAGGAACCGGGGGCTGCGAGGGAGCGACCATGGAGTTGGCGTTCAACCTGACCATCTCGAAGGCAGCGGACTGGGTGTTCTTCGTTAAGTTTATAGGGTTATAGAAGGGTTATAAGAGTGAGTTTTCTATTTTGGTCTGTGCGTGTGCATTGTCAGGATTGTGCACGGGCCTGTTACGTAGAGCTTCAGAACTACATTGCTTGTGGCGTCTTGGTTTAAATGAATACGACATTTGGAGCACAAAAGGCCATAAACACGAAGCCCTCACAGAGCGCAGCAGTTTTCGTTCAGAAAATCAGAGTTGAAAGTTTTAGGCTCAGTGGAATATCGGGGTTCAGGGTTCCAGAAGTTTCGGGCGTTGCCGAGCAGCGTTGTGTTTGAACAGATTCCCGCTCGATGGATCCCCCAATTTCGTGCGGAGGTTGTGAGCCTTGTGAGGGTTTATCAGTGTCAAACTGAATCATCGGAATAACTTTGCATGCTAGCTGTTCGCTGCCACGGCATGCTCGAAATTCTAACGTTTCTGGATGTTTCGTCATCATCTCCTTTTTGTGCCAATAGTGCTCCGCGTGTGGTTAGGCAGCATTTGATGAACGGTCACGGTCGACGGGCAGGCTACAGGCTACAGTAAAGACGACCGAGGCCTGTCCCCAGCAACGGATACTTAAACCCTACAAACCTCAAGCCCTAAGCCCTAAATCCCTACACCGGCACCGGCACAAATACCGCAACAGCAGACAGATAGCACAGGTTGGGATTGATGGACGGGCTTCCTTCCCGGTTAAGGTTAAGAAAGGGTGCTTTAAGGGTCATATAGCTGCGAAGAGTTGAAACCGAACTCGTTTTGACTTGAAGGCCTTGAAACTGAAACCCCGAAGCCGGAACCCCCCGGACGCGAGCTTTCAAAAATTCGAAACTCCCCAAGACTTGCACCTGACATCCTTCAAGCATGATCCAACTCCTGGCACCAGGGTATTGCTCTGGAGAGCTCTCTTCCCTACGAGGGCCGCGATGCATCCTGCCCAAGCTACAAGCCCGCCGTGAAGGCGGCGGAAGGTTTAATGTCTCGAGGTTTAGGGTTTAGGGTTTAGGGTTTAGGGGGCGGGGGGGGGATTGACGTGACCCTAAGGCTCCTGGACCCTGGTAGTGAGATCCCAAACTCTCCCCTCCCAGAAAGCCCAGGACCCTTTTAGGAGCCTCAGGCTATTACATGTTCACGGTCAAGGACTTCTTTATGGGCTTCTGGGTATTTCTCCTGAGCGAGGGTCCCTTTTTGGGTCTTTTTGGTTTTCATAAGGGTGCCGTAAACTACCCTTCTAGTACTCTTCTGGAAACCCTCTGGAGACCCTATGAAACCCTTGTAGATCCCTGTTCGGATCCCCAAAAGGGGACCCCCCCTTGATTCAAGGTACTTAAAGGTTCATGGGACTTAGTAACTAGGGTTATAAATAAGGTAACTGTACCTATAATTACTTATAACCCCAGTTAAGCTTATAACTGTACTTATTACGTCCCATGAACCTCCAAGTAGGGGTTGAGGTTTATTTATGTTTATGTGTTTCAGGACTGGTACTTTCGAGTTCAGGTCTCGAGGTCCACAAGTCAGGTGCTATTTCGGTTTTATAGGGTTTAGGTTTTACAGGGTTTTGGTTTTAGGGTTTAAGGTTTTATAGGGTTTATATAGGGTTTCCATGAGTCATAAAGGGGGTCAGGGAGGCACTTCTTTCTACAGGGCGGAGCACTACTGTTGCGGCGTCGTCGCTCATCGTTCCCGATTTCACATCCTTTGAGCTTCAACTGCCGATCTGATAAATCCGAAAACTTTACTTTAAGGTGGCCTTAGCCCGAAGACTCACTGGAACCCGAAAGCTATTCAAGTTCAGGGTTTAATGCTTCCAGGCATGCGTACAAGCTCTGCTTCAGAAGGGGTTTAGGGTATTTTAGGGTTTAGGGTTGCAGCAGCAATCGCATGGCCCCGCAAACTGCGAAGCCCTTGGCCGGACTCGAAACTGCCAGGCAAAAAGCTATGTCAGGCTCCCCGTCAACGAGGCAGCCTCGTTGGATCCTTGGCACCAAGACTTGAGGGTTCGCAAGGTTCGGGATTGAGATTGAGGGTGTAGGACTTAGCATGTAAGCCAGGGTTTAGGGTTTCTCACGACTCTAAAGATACTTGGAAGTTCCATTTGCACATATTTGCACTTGCACAGTCTTTGGAAGACGAAGCAGGCTACTCGGGGTCAACACATTTGTGCAACAATTAAAAAAACGCTTCTCAGGTAACGACCCTTTTGTAAAAAAAAATACAGCGCGATGCCGTAAGAATGGATTACTGTCCTACTCATTGCAAGACATCCAAGCCCTGGAAACTTGTGGCAAGGCGTGTACTACGGGGCCCCAGCAACTACTAAAACTACTCCATTCAATTACTAATAAAGCCCCTATACACTAGGCTTCCGAGATGAAATGCGGAACGAGAAATGCCGGCTCGGAATTGAGACCCGGGAACATGCAGATGCCAAGAAGTTCTACAGTTATACCATGGATTCCAACTGCATGAAACTGGCTCTTGAAAAGGTCGCAAGCCCAAGCGTCCCGACAAGCCACGAAGAATTTCTTAGACCTTTTTGCCGGACACCCAAACCCAAACTTCCAAGAGTCAACGGAGACTCTCGGGCCAGGCATCCCTAGAAGCGAACCATCCCGAAGGACCATAGCCCACCCGTTTTTACTGTTTAGTGGCCTTAGTAACCCCGAAAGCAGGCTCTTTATGGTTATCCCGGTTGCCCTCTCGAACCGGGTGTCTCAACCCTATCGCCGTGAACCCCGCGCCCAAAGAACTTCAGGAGACTGCTTTGGCCACGAAGGGCCCCATGTCGGTAACCGTGGCTGCTGGGTCGTGGCAGCTGCAACTCGTCCAAACCCTAAACCCAGAAAAAGATCGCAAGATCAAAGCTTGCAGGACCTTGCAGGTACGCTTGAATGTATGAGTTCTTTAGTTTCGAAGGCTGCACAGATGCCTGGGCGACGAAAATGTGTAGGGAAGTCCATGGATGTTTTCCTCTTATGGGAAGGAAGCAAGTAACGGGACCTCCCGGCAGGCTGGTGCTTTCTGTAACGTGCACCCACAATGCTGTTTGCTCAGTTTGGCAGACAGCTGTCGACTGGGTTACTAGCTGTGGCTCTATGTACCTACGGGTTCTGACTGTCACCAGACAGAACAGAATGCAAGAGCAAGCACACACTCCTGGTAAATACAGAAAGAGCCGAAAGCTCAGACCATAGCCCTCAAGCCTAAAGCCACACTCCAGGTATGGTGGAGGCATTTTCTCGGGCTGCAGCGAAGGCGCTGTCAAAGATGGTGCTTAGTTTTTGGCGCCTGCAGCAGCTTGTGCATGCACGTGCCCAAATTGCGGTTTACAGTTGAGGGTTTTGGGCCCAGGGTTTAGGTTCCGTGGAATACTACATATTGAGAGACTTGCAAGAGAAGGAGAAAGAAGCAGAACAAAAACATCAGAAAAACGGTTGCCTCAAGTGCCAGGATCGGACAACACCTTGGACCATGGGGTTCAGGCCGTCGGCTACGCCAAGGACTACTGGCTGATCAGGACTGCACTTGTGGCTGAGCGTCTTTGTCTCTGGTTCGGAAGCCGACTGCCTCCACTGGAAATACCATGTTTGACCTCCCCACATGCAGCAGTCAATACATACCCCTGGGAGCCCTAGGCTCTGGCAGTCACGCGTTGCATGCGAGTGGCGACAGGAATTCCTGGGGCCCGGGCTGGGGTGAGAAGGGCTACATCCGACTGTCTCTTGGCTCTCCAGGAACTTCTGCAACTGCTTTTGCGCTGACTGCATTTGCTTTGCTGGCGTGCCTCTTGCATTCAGGTTGACAACTTGATCGAAACGTCGACTGAGTCTTCGGTGAGAGCCTGTCGCGGCTGAGGTCTCGTGCCAGTGACAAGAAGACCTTCGTGGACCACAACCCTGCTGACGGCGAAGCCTGCAAACCCTACCCGAAGACGCAGACTATCGGGGGCGAGCCCTGGATGAACGCGGGTTCCATCGTCATAGGTGTAACTTGATTGTTGGCCTTCCGGCAACTCGCATGGTTGTGTCACACCGGCATGCAGGGTCTGCCTGTCTGCCTAAGCGACTCTAAACCCTTTTGTAGTCTTATAGTAGCCACTTGTGAATCTTTTGTTCAATACCTTACTACTCGTATAGCCTTATAGCAAACTTCTTGTAACTCGTAGGTATAGTACCCCTTTGGAAGGACTTCAATGCCTCTGCCAGGAATGCGGGGTGCTCTTCGACAGCTCCTACCCTGTCGGGGTTGTTGCTGGGACCGAGGAAGAGATTGTGGTGTAGATTTGACAGCCACAATACTTCATGAAATTTAGCATCAGATGCCACGGCTCCGTGTGACAGCTCATCATTCTGCTCAGGGCAATTTCGTGTTCCTGTCTTCATTATCTTCCAACTTCTTCAGATTCTGTGCGTTCCGACGGCTCGTTCCCGCGGGGCCGTGGAAGTCAATTCGTGCGACTCTGGTGCTGTGGCCTGTGCCACGGGGGAGGTTTACTGGCAGCTGATTTGGGAGGCCAGAATAGCAGAAGCTGTCCTGGAGTGGCCCGGAAATTTGAATTAAACCAAGCAGTGCATCGGAAACCCTTGGCACATTCATAGTGAGTTCTGTTTCGAGCGCATTGGTGCCTTAGTGGCTTTTTCTGGGCCGCATTTGTTCCATCATTTGCCGTGGTGTGTTTTCTTTCGCTTTCGACGGGCACTTGGCTTGAGAGCGGAAGTTTCCAGGAAATGTTGCTCCTTAAACCCTAAACCCTAAACCCTAAACCTCGCTTGTCGGGGCATATGGACTTCTAACTCCATTCAGAAGTCACCATTCCGTGCTGTTGGGCCCGGTCGCTGACTTATTGCTTGACAGAGTACAGCTAGGCAGCAGCAGACAGCGGAGCGAAGCAGCACAAACTAACAAAAAACCGACAGCCAACCCTACACCCACCACCCACAGTGACAGCTTCTGTAGCCAGACTCGGAGAAGCGACGTCTAGCAGGCCAGCACCATGGCTGTTCACATGGTTCTTACATGCAGCCGCTGCTTAGTCCTTATGTTCTCCAGTGTGACAGCGAAGTTCGAGTTATATGGAACACAAAACTTCAAGCATTTACGCATTTCTATCCTATAATACTGGCTCTTTCCGGTGATGGAGTCGCCTGGAAGACTCAGCGCCGGCGCAGACGCGGAGGATTGCAGAATGCTGTCATTGATGTTGCGTCCTTGTGCCGGTCGAAGTGTTGTCTAGCAGAGTTCACATCAGGTCTTGCTAGTTTAGGCGACGCGATGCGAGTCCGAACACCTGGATCCTGTCAGGACTGGTGTCGTGTCTGAGTTAGCTGCAGATGGCATCTGTTGAATCTTGGAAGCAGGCACAGCTTAGGCTTAGGTTTAAAGATGTAGGGTTCCAAAGTCTCCTGCTGTGGCAAGGGCGTGACACATCGGTTTTGTCACGGCCCAGTTTCTGAAGTGTTCAATGCCCGGCAGCCAGAATTCTTCATCTACATTCCTATACCTGATTCCAGGATTCATTGCACAAGGCCGGCTAGTAGATCCTTTCCTCCCGCAGCATGGAAGACTAAACGGAAGTCTGCAACCAGCCTGAAGCCTATAAATGTTTACGCCATTACCTCCCTTTTCTCTCCAGCAAGCTTTGTTTAGCTGAGCCAGACGCCAGCAAAGGAACAGATTTTCTCAAAAGCAGCCGGTGCGGCTTCGGACTCAGCTGCTCTGAGTTAGGGTTTAGGGTTTAGGGTTCAGGGTTTAGGGTTTAAGGTTTGTGGTTTCGGGCTTAAAGGCAACGGCCGAAGTTTCGGACACCTCGCTTGGAAGATCTTGAAAGTTTAGGCAGCTACTCAAGTGTCTGATGTCGCTTACAGGTGGTTAGAGCTTGGATTGGGGGTGTTCTGTTTCGGAGGTTGGAGGATGCGGGGCAACCGGAACATGTCTGCAAACTGAATCGGAATGAATCAGCCCATGTTCCGATTGTTTGAGAATCACGCCACGCCATTCGTTGACTCTATCTCTTCCATCCTCATCTCCTGCTAAACCTTCGGGCTTTCCAATCTTGCCCCTTAGCCTTACATATGAGCCTTGAAGCCGAAGTCACCCCTGCCGAAATCCTTGAGGCACAGACCTTAGGAGGGGCTGCTCAAGGCGGCCTTGCGTTGCTGGCACAGCTTGTGGAGGAGCTTAGGGTTTAGGGGTTAGGGTTCTGACATGAACAGCCGCTAGACTTCCAAATCCTAGAGCCAAGTTCCGATTCTTGCTCGGACTGCTTTGGCAATGCTGACCCTAGAGATCTGAAGACCCTGCCCGTCATGGTTGTGTGCTCCTTAGTCACGAGCTCACCTTGAGATTCACTATTCGGATTCGTATGTTTCCCGGTTTTCCGGCTGTCGCTACATACACGCAGAACACCTCGTTCTGATTATTCAGCCCCGATACCCGCAGCTAGGATATACTCTTTCTATGCTACCACCAACATGATTTGGGTTGTCCAGAGAACAGCGAACCCCTCGCAAGCATCCTAATTAGTGAATCAATCAACTAAACAATTAATTCATTACTTAATCCCTACACAGCAACCCTAGAACTCGACAGAACATTCCAGACAATCGAACCTACAAGCGGACCCAGCCAGAGCTTGGTGTCGCAGGAGGCGATCGAGCCACCGCCGAACACGCGCGAAGAGGGCCCGCCACCACCAGAGCTGAGGCTGGACTAGCACAAGTTCTCGAATCTGTGTTCACTTCGTTCTTGCCGGCATTTGCTCTCGTCACGAGTGCCATTCGAGATCAGTCGTTTGATTAGGTTACTTTCAGAACGACACTGGAACAGTTGTTTTGTGAATTCTGCTGATACTCGGAGTAATGCAAGTGTGCCGGTCAGGCTAAAGCCCCAATCCTGGGATGAAATCCCTGGATGAAGGGTTCTAAGGATTATAGAGTTTAGGAGTCAGGAGCTTGGCTGAAGGGATTCAGGGCTTAGTGCATTGCAGTCCCTGCTCAAAAAAAGGGGAAGCCCGAAGCCCTTTCTGTGCTGCCAGGCAAGCACCTCCCAAGGTCATCGAATGCGATGGAAGCCCACCCGCTCCGGACCCGAGCTCCTACTGCTTTGCCCTCTCTATCTCTCTCTCTATCTCTCTCTCTCTCTATATATATATATATATATATATCTCTCTCTCTCTCTCTTTCTCTCTCTATCTCTCTCTCTCTCTCTCTCTCCTCTCTCTCCTCTCTCTCTGATTGAGGGTGGTTAGGGG